TGCCTGATTTGTTTAATTATTTTAAGGGACATAATTTTCAGCTTCATTCAGATTTTTTATTATAAAAACAAATGTCGCATCTCAGAAAAAAAGTGCTGCATTTATACGTGAATAGATTCATAAACCATGCAAGATACCAGAAAATCTTAGCTGGCTTTTGCCCAAAGTATTTTGTACAGGTGTCTGTCAAAAATTAATGATTCACCGAGACAAATATAAACTGCCTTATTATATTCATTGTATGACTACTGTATTATTTGAAAAGTAAAAAAAAAACGCCCTCTATGAATAGCTATCATGTTGCAAGCTCTGCTTTGTAATGCAAATCAACTTAAATAGTTAGTTGGTGTTCAGGGGGGAGAGAAGTGAACAGTACTTCCAGAGAATCTACATCTTCAAACACTGCAATCATTGTTTTTAAAGTGCATTTTTAAATTATTCTTATAAAAGCTCTATCATTCTGTTCTAATAGCTGAAACAAATTCCTGTGAATTTTTATTTGTCGAATACAGAATACCTAATTTTTGAGTACAATTTTCTTTTCAAAATGTGGATGCAACGTTTTGCTTTTTATGTATTGTTTTTTATTTGATAACTTTGGACTAAACAGATTTTCTATTAGCTTCAGATCTTGATCAAAGTTTGGCACCCAATTCATAGGAGTGCTTATATTAATGTTTGCACATCTTGTTTTCCGAAAAGATTTTAGGTTTGCAAATGTGTATCAGACTGTGCAAAAACTCTCTCCATGAGTTGGTTTTGAAACCCAGTCTAGTATTTCCATAGGATTTGGGAGATACATTACCAAGGATGTTATTACAAGATAAATGATTTGCTTCATTGAACATTGACAACAATGCATATTTCCACAGAGATCAGTGACCTTTGAATGTGTATCACCAGTGATCAGTCGCAATTTTTGCATGATATTTTCATACAGGACATCTGTTCATACTCGGGGAACACATTATACTGATGAATAAGGTGACCACATTTGATAAAGTTTGGAATAGAATTATTAAAGTTATTGTGCACACAATAATAATTATTAACGACGACGATACTCAACAGAAATTTGTCCCTTAATACCTTTCCCTTCCATCTTTGATGTTACGGGCGAGGTAAAAAAATTACATTTACAGTCCTTGCAATAGAGGAAGTGTATAATTTGTTAAGACCAGCCATCTGCTTATGCATCATTCAAGACAAAATGCATTTCAAAGTGGACTACAAATTCCACTAAGTTACAAAACTCTGCATATGTTTTCTAAATCAATCATTTGAAGTGTTCTCAAATACATTTTTGAGAAATACTTTTACTGCTTCTGTAGGGAATCTAAATACATTTTGTAATTGTAATTTCAAGTTATAAGCAAAAATGAACAAATACAAGTATTTTTGATGAATAAAATTTTTAGGCTATTTTTGTTTGGGCCAAATATGGCCACCAGTCAGCCATTTTGTATCACAACAGAAAGTTACAAAATCTGGGCCATTTGTAATGCATCATGATTTAACTATGTAGCAAGTTCGAGAAAAATTGATACATAAACTTTTGCAATGGACGAAGGGAAAGAAGGTGACCAATTCTTCAGCTTCCTGGTTTGTGTCCAGTTGGGCAGATGGCCAAAAGTGTATGAAAGTCTTGGGATATTTATGAAGACAAAGATTTGACCTGTGAAAATTAATTACCGGTAGACTCAAAAATAGTACATTTAGACTACATTCATTAATGAACAACCATCAATTTGCCAATAATGGTACTCCACTCTAACTTTAGATTGACTAGGGATACAATTTATTGTAAAATAAATATATCCTGGGTATTTTCATTCGTAAGTAGGCTTTTACAAGACAAGGTTCAAATCATATCTGCTTTAAAGCTAGAAGAATCACAACAGTGAAATTAAAACTTCAATTTACTAAACAGTATTTGTGCATTCCTTTTTGATGAGAAAGAAACAAACAGGAATAAATCATAGTGGTATACGACCAACAATTTATAAGAATATTTAACTGGTGTAATATGCAATTTGAGGCAACGCAAATTGAGAGACGATCACAATATTACTGGTAAATGCAAATAAATGAGTCTGTGAAAGAACTGGTGAGCATTTGTGTTTGACAGTTTTTGTTAGTGTATTTATTAGTCGACCTTTTTGAATATCATGATATTCTTTCTCAATTCTGTTAACAAAAAAATGATTTCAGGCACCATTCACAAAAAGAGTTCAATTTTTAGGCAGCAAATGCTGATGAAAATTTCAAATTTTTGGCTCAAAAACTAGAAGCATTGTCACATTTTGCCTGCCTTCATCGCCTATCACCATATATGGATTGCTATTTTGCATACACTCTATGTATATACCGGGGTAATAACCATTGGTTACAGACAAGGTGGTTGAGTGGGGTAAACGAAAAAACTCCTTACAGGAGAAGAGTTGTGTTTTTCTATTTTTTTTCATTCAAGAAGGAAACTTTTTTCCCTTCTGCTTACATTGGTTTCAACACAACAAGAATCCCCAGTATCCTTCCAATCTCATGGTTGTCAACAAAACAAACATTAGTATAGTAAATATAATGCTTTTAATTCAACCAAATATACAACAAAAGAACATTAATCAGTTCAAATATTGCATGATATCAACACCAAACACTTTATTTTCTATTTGATAGCACAATACCTTACTACAGTGGCATTCACGTTAGAGATCACAGCATGTCCCGAGACTCGGGACCGAGTTGGCACGTGACAAAATTTGTGTGTGAATGGTCGGGACCGAGTCGGGACGTGCCGAAAACAACTTGATCTCAGTCGCAATAGATGCTTAGGACCGAAACCCTGCACGTGCCTAGATTTGCAGCATGAACGCTCGGCACAAGCCAAAATCACGCCCTCGGTGGTAAATTTCAGAGAACATAGTAGTATGCTGATTCATACTGGTATGAAATGACGATGACAGGAAATGCAGATATACTAGTATATGGTTGGATGCTGTAGTAATGAAAGAAATGTATGCAAACCGTCGTCAGCGATGCATATTTATGTGCTGCTGCAACCGCTATTTTCTTGCAATGCTACATTGACGTGAAAAAATAAGTGTTTTTCGAATCATCTTTGCTGTTCATGTGCATCGTAACTTGTAATATATACCTTAACAACAAATGGATATAATTTCAATGTAGCAATTATTATTATCATCGTATGCGTATCATTTTCCATGTTTGGGCCAAATAACAGATTGACGAATGAGGGAGTGATTTCGGCACGAGCCGAGTCGGCCCTAAGTGGGTCCCAGACAACGTGAACGCAACTGCTGTAATCCCTCTGAAACGAAAAGGATTAAAATTGCCGGCACGTGCCGAGATTCCATAACGTGAACGTAGTATACATCAACAGCAACTATAAATGATTAAATGAAGAATTAAAGTATTGAAAGAAATGTTTATAATATTGCTCCTTGGTGTATTAAACGAAAAACAGTGTGGATCACAATTGATCACAAAAAATTTATTAATAAATAAAATAAATTATTATTATATCCATTGAGTTACAGTATACTATTGGGTGGCTTCGAACACTGGATACATAATATAGAATAGCATGGTTTGCACTCATATATGTATCATACAGACTATACAGGGGTTATGCAGTATAAGATCACAAATATGTACATCAATTGATTGTACATGTTAAATCTAAATGACAAAACAAAACTTTCTCAAAAGTGAAAATGTTTAAGGTTGTACACTGGCATTTGACCTATTAAAGAAACAATCACTTTTTATTAGCCACTACAAAATGTTTTGTTTTAAAACATGCAAAAATTGGCCTTTTTGTAATTATTTCCATAAGAATTCATATATTAATTCAAGTTTTATTTTCTAAAAAAATGATTATTCCGTTAATATTCATCATAATTTCCTCATAAACAACCATAAGTAACTATTTGTATAGGAATTTTGAGATGAAACTTAATTACCATAGAAACCAATGATAAAGACTAAAATTAACAATTTCATGTGTTGTAAATTCTTAAGAAGAAGCCATATGGTAAAAATTGAGGAAATAGGGCAAAAGTATGTTAATACCTTGATATTAATCTAAGAGAAAATTTTCACCATATTTTTTGACAAAAAAATTACATATTTTAACCCAACAAGTCAGTGTCAATGTCAGTCCCAGTTTGTATATTATAAATATTGCATCACTACTTAGGTGATATTCATAATGTAGACTGACATGTATGAGATATAGCTTCATGGAACTGCTATCATTTGAACAAGATGACTGCCAGTTAGCCTTTTTGGATTTGATGGTCCGATATGACGTATGATGTCTGATGTATGCGTGGAGTTTGAACGTGGATCGGCCCAGGTACATGTATGTCAAAGGTGTAATATTTAAAGAAAAAAATGGCCGCCAGTCAACTATTTTGAACCAAATAAAATGAAGTACATCATTATGTTCTATGTAGGTATACCAAGTTGAAACCAAATCCGTCAACACACAACTGAGATGCCATTCTTAGTATACACGTATGTCTGATATAATGTCTGATGTATGTGCATAGTTTAAACTTAATCAGTCCAAGCATGTGCGCGATATGGCTGGATATGAACAAATGAATGCACAGAGGTCAATTCATAAGTTTTTTGACTTTGTCCCAACAGGAACTAAAAAGACCCCCTTCATAGCCTTTGATTGTGAAATTATGTAATGAGACCAGTTCTACCTGTAGTTAAACAGCTTCCATTAAGTTAATATCAAAGCATTTTTAACAAAAAAATGTCAAAGACGGTGGTTTAAGAGTTATATTAATTTCAATAAAAGATACACACTTTATATGTAAAGATACATACACATATACAGCAGTCACTCTGTTAGAAGTTCACTACCAATAGAAGTGAACATAAATCAAAAATTTAATGTTTGATCATTACAATTTTGACCATAAATGTACTATATACCTCTGTCATTCACATGTGCTACTAATACTATAGCATATACAATACTTGCTTTCAGCATGAAAAAGCAGTTCAAAGTTATTATAACTTGAATCTCCATCGGAAGATTATATCAAATTAAATGTTAAAGCGCTTTTTATTAATTAAAAATGCTGTCAGTTGAAGAGTTTATTTACACAATGTGCAGCAAATTTACATAGTCATAATAAGATGATAAGACTCCATCCAGTAAGGGTGCTCACTCCAGGAAAATGCATTTTAGAATTCTTCAACCCACTCATTTTCCGATATAAAGGTATCAATAACTTCTTTCATGGCAAGATTTGGAATGAGCTGATCTTGAGTAAGATCTGTTCTCGTCACAGGATCAAAATGTCCAACACGCTATATATAATAAAACAAAAAAATGAATCATTACAAGTCATGAGCCATACAATCCCAATGAGTTTTCATATAGAATTGTATGTCTAATGTTTTTAATAATAAAATATGATGGTCTGTTTACCTGTAAATGTTCTTCTATATCTTTTCTGTCATAGGTTATTCCACTTGGTGTAATTACTGGTTCTCTCATTAATTCAAAACTTATTTTACCACACAGATAGTCTGGAACTTCTCTCTTCTGTTGAGTAAAAACAAACATTGTACTGCAGTCAATATTTGTATCAAACACACCATTTGCACAAGTGACATACTGTTCAGTCTAAACATGTATTTTGGTAAACTCACACTTGTCTGTAAGTAGATTATACATCCACCTAAAGGTTGTATTCATAAAAAGATCATAATGACTGTTCTTCTTAACACATAAAATAATATGACAAAATCTTCAATGCTATTTTCAATTTTTGCATCTTTTATAATTATATAGTTTATGTAGCTATAGTTTTGCGAAACTTGTTCTATTTTTTTGTTTATAAACAATGACCAATGAATGTCAAAAAGCAACCAAGTTTATTTGGGTCTGTATGATGGACTGGTTTGATTCCTGAGCTAAGCCTAGCCAATGAGTTTGAAAATGGTTATCCTAACATCAACACTATCAGAGTGCAATTAACCTTCATCTGAATCACTTTCACTCTAAAACTAACTTACCTTTCGCCTTTCATCCACTGCTGCAAATACAGCGTTAAGTTCTTTTAAATGTTTTTCCTGAAATATAAATAAAAAAAAAACTTATATCAACGCATACCAATTGATATGTTATAGGCTGTAATTCATTAAAAGCCAATGTCTTGTTGCAAGAATATTCCTAATGACATCACTGTGTCTTCCACTGAATTAAAAACCTAGAATTGACATGGGCCTTTAATGCTAGTAAATGAATCTATCTGCCCCTACCACAGATAAGTATGCTTTATATGCCGCTACCACAGATAAGTATGCTTTATATGCCCCAACCACAGATAAATTTGCTTTATCTGCCCCTACCACAGATAAGTATGCTTTATATGCCGCTACCACAGATAAGTATGCTTTATATGCCCCAACCACAGATAAATATGCTTTATTGCCCCAACCACAGATAAGTATGCTTTATCAGCCCCTACCACAGATAAGTATGCTTTGTCTGCCCCTACCACAGATAAGTATGCTTTATATGCCCCAAACACAGATAAATATGCTTTATCTGCCCCTACCACAGATAAGTATGTTTTATCTGCCCCTAC